AACCTGAACCCTACAAGCATTACTGGAGTATTACATATTAGTCTCTTAAGTTTCAGTAGCCACTGTTTATCTACTAAATATTTATTTGAAATAAAAAGTTTTCATCTTCATTTGAATTTCAACTGCTATAAATATATATATATATATATATATATATATATATATATATTGCTAACATACGCTGAAAACTGTATGTTTTGGGGAAGAAGGATACAACGCTTATGTAACTGCATTCCAGACACAATGACCTTATTTAATGCGTTTTTATTTAGCCTAGGATTAGTTAGGCATAGTAAAATTTCACCTTGACTATTGGGAGATATTCGATTATTATTTGACCTAACTGTGATTCACTTTTTCACCTTCTACCTTATTTAACCTTAAGTTGATTCATGTATATTCTAAGTAGGCGATAATCACTATTACCTTTGTTTACGTACCTATTATTATTACAACTTAGTTACTTCCCACTAAAATGATGTTATCAACTATAATTTACTTTTATGCCTTAGTCTTAAAAATATAAAGTTCAGCTGAAATTCTTCTGGCTGAATTCTTTAAAAATCCTCTCAAACTTTATTCACTGATTTTTAGATTTTGGTCATTATTCCTTTTTACAATAACTTGTCGTTGATATGGTTAAATAATATCAATCACCTTTTGATGATAATATATTAATAGTCAATCGATAACACTACAATAAATTTTCACTATAGTGAATAGGTTTTCTTTGTGTTTGCATTAAGTGAAATTATGTGAACAAGTATTCTTGTCGTTTAGACCAGCATGACACCACACTGATGAGGTTTGTGGACGTGTATTGCTGAAAACTAGGATGAAACAGCTGTCCAGTACTCCTTGGTTTTCAGTGTTTCTCTAACCGTAAATCACCTCGTGGTCTGACCTGAAACCAACCAGACCTCTGAAAATCAACATTTGAAAATTAATCTAATTCTCACTAGTGGCTGACCATAGAATGGAGTTGCCTTAAGTTCTGTCGAGAAATCTTGATCAAAAAGGGGTCTAGCAATTCGTCTGTAAGGGGATATATCCGACTATCACATTGGCTGGCAGTAGATAGAATTCATGAGACATTAGATTCTCTCTTGCAGTGGCTGAATAGTGAACTAGTTTGTCACGTAACCTCAAATTGCTGTGTTCAGTCTCTTCTAAAATTCTGGGTGCGTATTGATGGAAAGTCCCGAACTTAGACAAAATTGCTCTCTAGTGATTATCTAACTGCTATTGTGACAGTAGAAGACGAAATACTTCATATGAAATTGAGTATCTCTATATAGCGAAATTATGTTCACCTTATCTGCACAGATCTCTATGTTGTGCTACTTCTCACCTTCTTTCATATCTTCCTTCTTTGTGTTCCTTTCACATCTCCCATGCACCTGCACAACTCTGTGTCATTTGCTTTCTCTGACATCAAATCTGTCTATCTCCCTGCTATTCGATATTTTTATGCCGATGAGCATCTCTTTATATGTATACTACTGATAAATCTTATCAGTAGCAAACGCCTTACTATCAGCTGCTGATCAAAACTTATCACTTTACACTTCTTGACTAATATAGGCTAATTGTGATACCTAACGGTGAACTCTTTATTTCACGGAATGGAGTAATGAATAAGAGTAAAACGGTTACAACGAATGAAATAGCTACAACTCTATACCAATAAGTAGCGTATTAAATTCATTAGAAGGTAAATGGGATGTTTTCTTCAATCATTTTTTATAACTACAGTAAAAAAAAAAATATTTGGAATGTTAAAACTGCTCAGCTGACTGTGAGTACAGTTTCATTTTCAGAATATGTGTCTTATGCAGAATATCAAATTTCCGCTTACACACAATACACAATACACTTCTACATAAAATGTTAACCTATTTTGGAATTTTGAATGACAAATTATTTGAATATATATGTGTAAATGTTGAATGACCATTTTGGCTGAATTGTTTGTTCACCATTAATGTTATACAAATTTCATTCAGATTTTTTTGTGAATGACTTGTGCTTAAGAAAGATACTTCATACAGGGATATTCTTTTTCCCTATTGGTCATATTTGTCGTCTAATTACCCTAAGTTACTGAAATTTGTGCGTCGGTGGCACAGCGGTTAGGACGCTCACCGACCATGCACATGGTCCGGGGTTCAATCCCTGGCCAACGCATTCCTTTACCTCGCTAAGCCAGAAATAAAACTGGTAAAGAGGAAAAGTTGGCCATGGGGCTAGCCACCCCGTCATGTAAAACTAAACACTGCTACAGAAGCTTCAAGCCACTAGCTTGAAGCCCTATGTTCCACTGGGAACGTGAAAGAAAAAAATGAAAAAAAAACTTAAATTTGATGTACTATTTTATTCATGAGAACGCTATTTGCCAATTTATTTTTGGTTTATTATTTATAAAAAGTTCAAAATCGGAAAACCTCAGTGATCTGGATTCTAATCTTGGAGGAAACATTACCTCCTTCGTTGAAGATATACCTTTCTGACGAAAGCCGGTGAGCAGAAAATTAGGTTAAAGGCTTCTTATCTACTGCCTAATATTATTTCAAAGTTAACAATGATGCAAAGTTGCCTAGCTTGATGACTATATTGCAAACTAAACCGGTGGAATTTGTTGATACTAGATATTGGGAGGCGATCTGCGGGAAGCCTTCGACCTAGGTTTCCTGTAAGTTGGCACTCACTAGTCAGCAAGGCATATCTGCAACCTTGAGGGAACTCATGTCCCTTCTGAGATTCGAACCCACATCACCCAGTGCTGCAGTCAGAGATGTTACTACTGACCTATTCGGGCTGGTTATTGACCTCCTGTAGGACTGTATTGGATACTTTGACTAGACACTAGTAACTAGTGTGACATGTCTAGTCCTTTCTTTGGTGCAGACTGAATTCTACCAATCAGGTTTGAAATGTGGCCACCATTCTAGGTAGTTTGCCAAAACGGTGAATATCGATTTGATGATATAGATGGTTGCTGACACGTATCAACTACCACGAAACCTAGGTCCAAAGCTTCCTGCCAATTGCCTCCAATCATCTAATATCATCAAATCAATATTCACCTTTATGGTAAGCTACATCGCAAACTTGACTGACAGAATTCATTCTGCACCGAAGTAAAGATTGGACACATCTCACTAGTTATTGGTGTCCACTCAAGGTAAACCGGTACATTTCAAACAGTATCAATACTACAGACTGAACACACGATTTTGTTTGTAACTTAGTGATCAATAAGTGATTTCTGTATACCGATGACTTGTGACAAGTACTAAACACTCTATGTCCTTACTATTTACTCTTTATTCAAATCTATACTAAAGGCACTGTATAAAAAACTCTGAACAAGTTACAATCTGTGATAAGTGGGCGTTTATGGTTCGTGTAATGAATAGTGTTTTCAAAAAGCAGTCACTCTTCCCTCTGTTATGAATTCCTTTCATGTAACAGTATACACATGTGGTTATCCCTTTGTAGATTCATTTGAGATATCCGAAAGAAGCTGGTTCAGACATTGTCCTTACCTTGACCATCACGGTTCTAATGATCCTCAGTTTGTTGTGCAAATTTCCTTAATTTTATTTGATATTCTATTTTCTATTATATTTTTATTATCATTATAATTAATGCGTCTTTAGTGAACTGTATTGCCACTGATCCTACTTAGCAAAACGATATTATTTAAAAAACACCAATATTGTTATTTATTACTATTCTAGAATATTCTGTGTGTACAAACAGATATGTAATTGTAGAGCCTGTAGAGGAAATTATCGAAAAGGATATTCTTTGTTCAATTTTTTTGTTTTTTCCAGATGTCCGGATGAATATTTTCGCTATAAATACTTTAGTTAAACCAAAATATGTGTTACTAATATATCCCTACTAAGTAAGTGCTATGAGAATAATTATATCGACGAAAAGTAGATATAAGCGATTACATCTCAGAATACATGCTGAAACTGGTTAGTGTACAGTGATGAATGCTTAAAACATTCGCCTGATTAATAGCTATCAGAAAAGGAGATAGCACCAGATTTGTCGAGACATCTGTAAAGCTTGCCATAGAGGAAATTTTCAAGTATTGATTTGTGGGGATTCGGTTGATTGAATGGAGGATTTCATCATGAGCAGACATCAGTTAGAGAACCATTGGAAAACCTGCAGGGAGTACTGGACAGCAGTTTCCCCCGTCCTAGTTTGGGACTCTTCAGCAGTAAGCACCCACACCACCGGGGTTCGAACCCAGGACGTTCTGGTTACAAGGCGAGATCGTAGACCGTTGAGCCACTGGGACCCGATCCAATGGTCCTGGGTTCGAACCCCAGTAGCTGCGTACTGATGAAGAGTCACAAACCAGGCTGAAGAAACAGTTTTCCAGTACTCCCTGCAGGTTTTCCAATGGTTCTCTAACTGATGTCAGCTCCTTTTGAAATCCTGCATGCAATCAAACGAAAATCCCTACAAACCAATACTTGAAAATTAATCTCATGCTCACCAGCGACTGGCCCTATATTCAGGCAGTGACCTGAGGTTCTAGTTGGAAGCCGTGACCAGTAGGTTACAGCAGGTTGAAGATGAGGCAGTAACTCATCGAAGAAGACACTGCAAAATGGTCGCGCTCTGTCGTGTAATGGCAGAAGTTAGAATTCATGGGCCATTGGATCGGGTTCGGATGGCTCAATGGTCTACGAACTTGCCTTGTAACCAGAAGGTCCTGGGTTCGAACCCTGTCAGTGGGTGTGTACTGCTAGAAAGTCCCAAAATAGAGGAGATTAACCGATCTTATAAATAGGGGTAACAAAATTAGATTACACACGCTTTGGGGATCTAATAAAAAACAGACTATTTGCTAGCTTTCATCTCCGTCACATTTAGCTAAATGTGATGCTTATAGCTTCACAATAAGCATACAGATTTTAAACATATTTTGATTAAAAATAATAGTTTCAGTTTTTATTTTACAAATATTTTAGGTTACACGAAAAAACACAGAACAAGATGTCATATTAGATTCAACTGGGTCACTTGCTTCATCCTTGATTATTTCACCACAGTTTTTACAAATATCATTTCGTTTGAATGCAGAAACAAGTTTTGGTCCTGGAGAAATAGACAAATCATTTCCACAACCTCTGAATACCTGGACACGATTTGGACTTTGGGCACATGATGGCGTACCAAAAGAAACCGTCAATTCTTATGGTGTACACAATTTCTTTATGGGTCTGAAACATGATGGAACTGCATTCGGGATCTTCTTCCTCAACAGCAATGCACAAGAAGTAGCTACAACACCTCTTCCAGCTATTACATATCGAACAATTGGTGGCATATTAGACTTCTTCATCTTCACTGGACCCAAACCATTAGATGTATTGAATCAATATTATGCTCTCATTGGACATCCACCAATACCACCATACTGGTCACTAGGATTTCATCTCTGTAGATATGGTATGAAGAATTTGGATGAAGTGAAGGCAGTACTGAAACGGAATTTGGATGCAGGGATTCCCGTAGACGCACAATGGTTTGATATCGACTACATGGATGCATATAAGATTTGGTCAGTGGACAATAATAGGTTCGGTGGGATGAGTGATTTCGTGAAGGATGTCCTACACGACAAGTACAAGATGAGAGCTGTGTTAATTGTAGATCCGGCTGTCAGCACGAAGGGTGGTAAAGACTATTTACCATACGAGGAGGGCATGAGATTAGGCGTTTTCATCAATGACAGTCGGACAGGTACTCCGATTCTCGGTACTGTGTGGCCAGGAGAGACCGTCTTCCAGATTTCACTCACCCAGCCACTGAGGATTGGTGGTACAAGTCTGCGTCAGACTTCCACAAGCTGGTCAACTTCGATGGTTTGTGGCTAGATATGAATGAGCCTGCGAGTTTCAATAGTGGATCACTCACTGGTTGTCCTTCATGGAATAAACTAGACAATCCTCCATATGTTCCTCGAGTCCTTCAGAACTCGTTGTATGACAAAACAATATGTCCATCAGCTTTGCATCACAACACAACACATTACAATCTGCATAATGTGTATGGTTATGAGGAAGCCCGAGTAACTCACAGGGTCTTGACTCGATTATTTCCAGAGAAGCGACCTTTCATACTGACTCGTTCAAGTTTCGCTGGCTCAGGTCGGTACACAATTCACTGGACAGGTGATGTGTTGTCGACGTGGGATAGTCTGAAGATGTCCGTTTCGCAGATAATCAACTTCAATATGTTTGGAATTCCAATGATTGGTGCTGATATATGTGGATTTGTAGGAAATACTACTGAGGAGTTGTGTGTTCGATGGAGTCAGTTGGGTGCTTTCTATCCATTTTCTAGAAACCACAATGAAAATAAAGCGAAGCATCAGGATCCAGCTAATTGGAGTGAAGAAGCTACAAAGGCTATCAAAGAAGCTATCAAATTGAGATATCACCTACTACCATACATATATTCCCTATTCTATCGATCTTACATATATGGAACGACTGTGGTTCGCGCCCTAGCTTTCGAGTTCCCTGAAGATTTGGCCACACACAAGGTCAATGCACAATTCATGCTTGGATCGTGCATCCTCGTCACTCCAGTGTTGGACGAAGGGCGAACAGGTGTGGAGGGTTATGTTCCAATGGGTGAATGGATCAACCTAGCCACTGGAAAACGATATGTCAGTCGAGGTGATTGGATGTATTTTGAGGCACCATTGAATGTCATTCCAATTTCTATGCGATGTGGTTGTATCATTCCTATGCAGGTATCTACTGAAGCAACAGACATTGCACGCAAGAAGGGATTTGTTTTGTTAGTACTTTTGTCTTCAACGGATGATGGTAGTGATACTGCTGGGAAGGGAATCACAGCATCGGGTGAGTTGTATTGGGATAATGGAGATGATGTCAAATTGAATTATTTGCATGTGAGTTTTGAAGTTCAGAACCGTCTTCTGTCAGCGATTTCGACACCTTCCAGCCATGAAAGTTTACAGAAAATCGATTGGAAAGAACTCGACCTGAAAGTCGTATTAATAGTTGGTTTAAGTAAAAATCCAAAGCAAATCCTGTTTAACGGTCATTCAGCTAAGTTCACCTGTTATGAAAACTACCAAACTTGTCAGCTATACGGTGAACCTAAATGGTCATTAATCGAGAACTTCAGCACTGAATGGAAATTTTGATTGCTACTCTTTTTCTTATCATTGTGTACTATATCAGTGAGTTTTTGAAAATTTCATCAGCAGTTTATTTTTACTACTCTATAAATTACCCCGATTTGTGAATACTACCCTTTTCACTATTTGATTATTTGTAACACTTATAATAGTCTTTATACACAATCTTTTACTACCCAGTGTTATCCTAATGAATTTAAACTTCAAATACATGTACACATTCAAACAAAGAAACATCAGTTTTTTAAATGATGGCATATTATTTCGTATATATTTAATCAGTTCACATGGTCTTATGCCAACTCAGGTTTTTTTCTGTAGAGAAAGTTTTTTTTATTATGATAGTCAGATTTTATCACATTACTAACTCAATATTAATTGTATTTGTATTGATCATTTGCTTGTTAAACATCTTTCAGTTATTGTATGTATTAGTTATTTATTAAATAGATTCTTTGAAAAATCAATAAAAATGTTACAGATAAGATTTAGTTCATGTAGATACATTACTAATTTCAATGCATCTCCTCTCTCAACCTGTGAAATCATTTTCGTAAAGATTTTGCTGCTAATACGATAGTTACCAGTAACAGCATCGATTAAATCCAGCTGATAGATAAGCATACTTGATACAAGATTAATTCTGGTGGTATGAAAGCAGATAGTATTCAGTCCATTGTTCATTTCATTAGATTCAATAGACTTTAAGAAGGCCTTCGACAGACAACGTTGGCCGCAAAGTAATTTGGAAATCACTCGAGTACTATGGCGTACCCCAGATATTCATCAACCTTATTCAACAGCTGTACGACAACGGCACCTGCCAAGTGATCCACAACGGAAGACTCAGCGAGGCGTTTGCAGTAAACACAGGAGTCAGACAAGGGTGCTTACTATCACCAATGATATTCCTAATTGTGGTGGACTGGATTATGCGTCAGACAGTGACAGGGAAACGAGAAGACAGAGATATCCTGGACCGACCGAGGTGAAGAACCTAGAAGACCTGGATTTCGTGCGTGGATGATTTATGTTTGATGTCACTGTCACAAAATCGAAGACTTACAAGCGAAAACTGACAAACTGGTCGAAGAAGCAGCAAAGACAGCATTCCAGGTGAACATAGACAAGATGGAGGTTATGAAAATAACCAACCAACAACGAGAAAAACAGCAGCAACATCCAGCGCCAATCACCATCAACGGGAGGGATTTGAAACAGGTTACTTCATTCACTTATCTAGGAAGCATTGTCTCAACCACAAGAGGAGGAACGGACGAGGATGTCAAATCGAGCGAGAATCGGGAAGGCAGGCGAGAAACAAATTAATCAACCTGAAACCAATCTGGAAACCGATCTTCGTCACTCACCATCAACAAGAAAATTCGGTAGGATTTTCAATACAAACTACAAGTCAGTCAGCTTTTCTATACGGATCAGAAACTTGGCGGGCGGGTCACAAAGAATATTTCCAACAGCCTGTTGCGGACCTTTATCAACAACTGTCTTCGCTCGATACTGAAGATCAGAAAAGAATTACCAACAAGAAACTATGGCTGGGAGCAAACAAAACAAGAACCAATCGCCCAACAAATATGCAGGAGAAAGTGGAGATGGGTTGGAAATTCGCTGAGGAGGTCGCTGCTGGGTGACATCGCGCGTCAGTCCATTGCTCGAGTGGAACCAGGCCGAAAGGGAAGCGGCGATTGTGACGCCAGTGCAAGGGTGACATGGAGGAGATCGTGTGAAGAGGAGTTGAAACAGTATGGACTAACATGGATGCAGGTGAAAAGTACAGCAGAAGGAAGACAGAAGTGGCAAGTGGAGACGTGCAGTTGAAGCCTTGTGTTTCACTAGGAACCCAAGGAAGCAATAATAATAATACATTAGAAAAGTATTTCCGCATGAGAGGCTGTTTCATTTTGGAATTCCTTAACTATCCTAGTTTAAAAATATAAACGGGATACTACTGGAAATGCAGTTTATCATAAAACCTCAGTGACACGGTGTGTCTTCTCATAACTAGATGATAGAAAAGAGTAAACAGACATAACGATAAGTATGAATTATATGGTGTTTACACTTTGTAAAATAGGCAAAAAGCCTTACAGCCCGAAATGCGAATACTAGGAATGAAGCAAGTGTTGGTTAAGTGATTTTTTTTCCAATTAGATGGTGAGATCTGACGGACACTAGACAACCACCATCAAGTTCTTAGGGTGAAATGTCAGTGAACTGCTTTTTAGGCTTGACATAATAGTTATTATTAAATTTTATTGCATCAGTTAGATACACAGAAAAAGCTCAGCTCATGTTCTGAATCACTTAGTTCAGCGAGATTCACTTATTGGTGAGAGTATCAAAGGTACTGACAAATCGACCATTGTAAGAGAGGAACTTAGGAATTAAAGTGGAATATAATACACAGCACCAGATTGTAAAAGTAGAAGACGAGAGATTTCGTTAAAGAATATCCTGATTGGTATCTCTATACAGCCAAATTATCTACACCTTATCTTCAATGTACCATTTGCATAGATCTTCCGTGTTGTGCTACTTCTCACCTTCTTTTATATCGTCTTTCTCTGTATTCCTTTCACGTCTCCCATGTATCTCCGCAACTCTGTATCATTTGCTTTCTCTGACATCAAATCTCCCTGCTATTTGATGTTTCTAAGCCGATGAGCATCTCTTTTTGTGTATACTACTGATAAATCTTTTCAGTAACATAGGCCACAATATCACATAAGTTTATTTGATATAACACAGTAGATACAGTTCGGAAATCAAATAAATAAGGAAAACATTACTGGCGAATACCCACCCACCAGACTTTATTCAAAAATGTATTAAGACCCATGAGAAAAACAACACTACTAATGCAAACAATGAAAATAATACGATCAATAGGGAATTCAAAGCGTCGAAAGTAATGCTATACCAAGAAGGAACATTGAAGACCCGGCGTAAAACTTTTAACTTGGCCAGAATTCGATTGGTATTTAAACTAACCAACTCACTCAGAGACTAATTTTGTCTGTTTATTGATCTGAAAGATCCAATTGGGAAAAATAGTATAATTTACCAAACACCATATAATGACTATGAGATCGGTTACACAGGTTGCACTAGTTGATCAAGGTTAACTAGGTTATTGGGACATTATAATTAAGCTACACCTAAAATAATCGACCCTCACAAATGTGAAGTAATCTAGTTAAAAGTGTGACCATTGCAACTCACTCACTCACATGCAAAACACAATTTAATGATATATGGTAGAAGTAATAAAAAGCAATATAGGCTGGTGGGGAGAGAGTTTTATCACTGAATCGAAATGATGATAGACCTATCCCGGATGTGTAGACAACTGCAATAGAAAAACAGCAGGGCGTAAAGGTCATACAAAGCAGGTTATCAAGTTGTGTGATTATGATGCTGTATGATTATGAGCAATAAATTGTGCTCGAAATGTCATCCAGTTATTAATACCATGCAACTATACATTACATCGAATAAACTTATCTAATGTGGAATTAAATTAGCAAACTTGTTTTTACGTAATTTAATAATGGCTGAAGTTTGAAAAAGAAACTAACTTGAATAACGGTAGCCTTTCAATCAGCAATCTACTAGTTACCGGTCTGGCAAATTACACATGGAAACAGTTGACCTAGTTATTAAATCATTACTGCTTTTCACTTCATTTTCAATCATCACTCCATCACACATAGCAGGTTGAAGATGAGGCAGTAACTCATCGAAGAAGACATTGCGAAATGGCCACGCTATGTCGGGAATTAGCAAAAGTTAGAATTCACGGACCATTGGATCGTGTCCCAGTGGCTGAATGGTCAACGACCTTGCCTTGTAACGAGAAGGTCCTGGGTTCGAACCCCCGTGAGTGGGGGTGTAAAGATGAAGAGTCCCGAACTAGTCTGACGAAACAGCTGTCCAATACTCCCTGAAGGTTTTCCGATGGTTCTCTAATTGATGTCAGCTCATGATGAACTCCTCCATCCAATCAAATATTACTTTGTCAGTCCAAAGCTTTGTAACGTAGCTTCATCAACTATTGACCTCCTCTCTCTCTCTACTGAAGTATACTTATGATTTGGTTATGAAAACCAGACTCGAAATTTAACCATGCCGATGTTTATTTGGCTGTTATGTGTGCTAGTTGAGTAAAGTAACCACTGAATTAAATCAGTTTAGTTGGTTTTAATGATTCCATTAGTGCAGAACTGTAGCTCTGGGAATCTACAACAAAATTCTGAAGGTTTTAAGTGTAAATGAGTCTATTCGCAGCACTCAGTTCCTAATGTGGCTCGTTATGTTAATAAAACACAGACCTTCTACCTGCAGCTATGTGATTGGCTGATACCTCAATGGCCTTGGCTTCACTCATACATTCCCGTGGTACAAATTTCAATACGCGTCTCACAAGCCTAAATATGATCTGATAGTACCAGTCATGTTAACAAAAAGTGTCCAAGTTCTAGTTTACTCATTATCATGTGCATTTAAATGGGCTAGATAACATTTTGGCCTTAAATCTCACCCTAATCTCTGAATGTCACACAGACAACGTTTTAGTGAATCCATTGTATATATATATATATATATATATATATATATATATATATATATATATATATATATATATATATATATATATATATATATATATATATCATGTTTTACTTCGACAACATAAAACAAGCCAACTTGGTACAAGTATAATATGAAACAGATATAAGCTGATTGTTGCCCACATACATGTTGATTTACCACTCACTCAAGTTGTACACTAACTATCAAAAATAATAAAATAAGGGATTTTGGTTCCAGAAAACTGAATAAAACATCATAAATAAAGACTTTCATGTCCCAACTACCTAATAAATTACAAGAAAAGAAGGACGAAAATGTAGCTTGAAGGAAAACGGCATAGGCTATTTTTTGTTAGGCCATTAGAAGTATTGTGTCTATATACAAGTTCACTCATGTATTATTTTGAATGACTAAGCAACTTGTCCAAATTAAGAATACTGATGACATATTGGTTTAAATGGCTAAAATTAATTC